GGTTGGCAGCAAAATGATCCATGAAGAGGTGAGAACGAAAATTCAATTCATCCTGGTTTAGAGTGAATCAAATTTTGGAGTCTGATGCCAGGCAGCTTATGGCCAGCATATTTAAACACAGTACAACTTGGAAACATTTCCTAGTATAATACAATCTCTGGCACACGGAGATATAATTACATCAATAACACAACTCAAAATCCATGTCATTTCTTCCAAGATGATAGGTTTCAGAGAGAGGCTACCTGTTTTAGCTTAAGGGCCTAGGGAAAGATCTGGTGTGGTCTTGGTCATATGGATAGCACAGAGGTCATTTGGGGTATTAGCCACCTCTAATCCTGGTTGTGGAAGCTTGAGGGAGCCCCTGGCTATAAAGATAATGCAAGGGTCATATAGACTACTAGCCACCTTTGGTCCTGGTTGTGGGAGCTTGATATGGCCTGGTCCTACAGATAACACAGATCACCAGGCTATTAATCACCTACAATTCACAGCCTTCTGATGGAAAAACAGGTTTTATACATAATGGGACTTTCTTTAGACTGTCAGCTCCCAAATAATGACACAGAGACTTCTTGCTAAGTATGGAAGCTTAGCCTTAGCTTAGGCTTGCTCCCAACTAACTCTTTACCACATGTCTTGTTACTTCTTCTCAGTACAGTCCAACTTACTCTGAATCTCACTGGTGAATCCCCTTCCTCTCAGATTCTTCCCCGAGGTCCTCCCTCTCCGTGGAAGTCCCGCCTATCCCCTCCTGCCTAGCTATTGGTCATTCGGGTCTTTATTAAACCAATCAGACGGTGTTTCAGGTGGGTGAGGTAAAACAGAGACATCTTCAGAGTGTGATCAAATATCCTGTAGCATACTTGTCTTTCATTTGAGAGGACAGTCCTGCATGCTTAGCACGCCTGGTTTTCCTGGTGATCTGTGGGGGCAAGGACCTTCATGCTCCCAACACTAATCTACTGTGAAGCTGCTGGATGTAAGGGTATCTCTCACACACACACACACACACACACACACACACACACACACAGGATCTCACTTCAGGGACAGTAGGGGTGTGCACCTTTAATCCCAGAACTCTGGAAGCAGATACAGGCAGATCTCTGTGAGATTAAGGCCAGCCTGGTCTGCATAGTGAGTTCCAGGATAGCCAGGACTGCATAGAGAGACCCAGTCTCAAACAAACAAACAAACAAACAAAAAATGTGGGGACACCAGACCTTGAGCAGAAACCCACTTCCCCTTCGGCCTGGGAGCAGGCATCTATGTAATGTTTACTGAAAACAATTCAGTGCTTTAGGGCTCAGAAAGGGCTGGCTCACTGAAATACCATGCCTTTCACACCTCCTACAGCTAGATGCCTCTTCCTGTTTCCCTGTGGTGTCTCCCCGATTCTGGGGCCGGAGATTAGACCACCAGCCAGGAGGAAAGAATGGTATGTAGATGAATGGCAGAAGTCCTTAAAAAGGGAAGCTCCTTTTTCAGAGAAAGACTTCTCCTGAGACTCCTCCTGAGAGCTCTCCTAAGCGGACTTGGAATCTCCTCCTAAGCTGACTTGGGAAGCATAAAGTTTTCTTAAAGCAACCGACCGGTCTCTGTGTCATCTATCCCGACCACCTCGCTACATTCTTGGATGCAGGCCGCACAGCAGGTGCGACAAAAAAAGATGTCATTTTAGTCTTTTACAGGCCAGGGGATTCTGGAGGAGCTACACCCACAGGAATGCTATTGTGTAGCTATTTATTCTCATTTGAAAATGACCATCCTAGAGGGGGGAGGAAAGTTCTTGGAACTCGGAAAGTAAAGGAAACTTACAAGGCTCAGAGGAAGTTCCTAAAACTGGGAGGATTCACAAGGTCCCTCCCCAAGATAATAGAAATAGAAATGTCATCTAAGAAGTGGATTATCTCTACCCACAGAGCTGCCTTTGAGTTGTACAAATAGCTCTAGAGATGAAGCTTTCGTGAGTCATCACCCAGGCTGATGGATTTTTCTCTGGTGCAGAGAGCTGCCTTTGAGTTGGTAGAGCTCCAAGAAACTCACTGGTTCACTAAGATGGGCTTCAGTGAAACCATTCCTCTAGTTATTGTCAGTAATGAAACATTTGCTTACACCTCCCCAGCAAATGTCACAAAATACATGAAGAAGGAAAACTGGGCTGAGTGCGACCCTTGGGAAGGGACCCCCGACCCGCAGGGGTGAGGTGATGAGGGTCACTACTAATTTGGTGGGCCTTCACGAGCAGATCCGATCTGGAAAGTGAACTTCAAGAGGTTAATGGAATCAGGCTCAAGACAACGTTCGCTGATCAAGAGCCTTTATTTTTTGGGGCGCGCTGGAACTTATAGAGGAAGGACCTCAGGGGGTGGTACAAGCATGTCAATCAAGTCTCAATTCAAATATACACCAAATACGGTAAAGACAAAGCTGTAATTTTCCATCAGTCATTAGTTACATTCCACAAATGCTTGTCAGCGTAAGTCAGGTGCAGGAATTAGGGAGGGGTAGGGAGTATACAACAGAACACTATAATCTTTTGTTAACAAAGACAATTACTCTGTAAGGGTACTTCCCCCTGGCTAGGTGGGTGGGCTGCCCTGTGTAAATTTAACTTTTATGGTTAGCCTTTTCCTTTGTCTCAAGGGCATGTGTGCTCGCAGTCACGTAGGCAGAAGGCCAAGAAACGGTTGACAGACTCCATTTTGTTCAAGGTTCTAGCAGTCCCCAACAGCTGAGAACCCAGAACTTTGGCCTAAAATTTCCCAGACTTCTATCCATCTGCCTGATAAGACAGAACACTCTTACCCTGTGACCTGTCTCACAGTGCAGGTATTACCACAATAGGGACTGGCAAAGCCACAGATCAGGGGGAACCACCATTGAGAAGTGGGCTTGTTATAAAGTTCCTCCCTCCTGCCACACAGGGCCACCTGGGGAAGCCCCACAAAGTTGGTCAGCAAGCAAAAGGAGCAAGGTACCTGTCTTAGGATCTCTATTGCTGAGAAGAAACACAACCACCATGGCAACTCTTATAAAGAAAAACATTTCATTGGGGCTGGCTCACACTCTCAGAGGTTTAGTACATTACTGTTATGGCATGAAGCACGGCGGCGTGCAGGCAGACACGGCGTTGGAGACGGAGCTGAGAGTTCTGCATCCAGATGGTCCTACACACCGCATTTACACAGCTCTCTCACCACACAGCCCTTCACACGGTAGCTAGGCACACAGCTCCTCTACGTAGCAGCAGCTCTTACACAGAGCGCTCTCTCTCTCTCTCTCTCTCTCTCTCTCTCTCTCTCTCTCTCTCTCTCTCTCTCTCTCTCTCTCTCTCTGCACAGCTCCTGCATCGCTCTGCACAGCCGTCTCTCTCTACACTGCCCCTGCCACTCCCACGGCCAAACTCTGGACAATTACACGTTATATTTTCAGGGCCTGACCCATTCCCATAACACAAGATGAGTCACATGGCTTCTCTTAGCGTAGTGATGTCACATTGACCCACCACTGGGTAATGCTTGGCCATGCATGTAACTCTTTCCCAGAAAGAAAATGACATTGGAATTCAAGACTCAACACTAACCGATTAATTAGCTGGATCTTAAGTGGTAGGGAGTACAAGCAGAAAGGTCTACTGCTGCAGGGAGTTATGTCTACTAAAGTTGCTACAGGCTCTGACCTTGAATCAGCAAAACACCTGGGAAAATGACCTCATGTATCTGTTTCCAGGGACAACCAGATAGTCGTCTCCAGGGGCAGCCAGCCTGCTTTGAATCTGTGCTGGAGTCTAAAATTAGCTGTCTGTGTAAGAGGCTGTCTTTGTGCCTGAGAATCCTGTGTCGTTCTGAGTAATGTGAAGTGTCCTAGTATCATTTCTATTCATCAAAATTATACAGTGAAGCAGAAATAATCTTCCTGACCATCCACAGCTATATGTACGCCCAATGATGGAATATTTTCACGAGATAAACTCACAAGCAGTGGGAACATACCCAGAGCTGTCCTCGGGGAAGAAATGAAGTTCTTAGGAAAGAAACGAGACAGTTATCTACAGCCAGTGACCCCCAGATCCCACCAAGTGGGACTCTCCATCAGAGAGTCACTCACCTGGTGGGTCTGAGAGGACCAGGGAGCCAGACCAGAGCCACGACAGGTTTCTAATGGTCGCTGCCAGGGACCAGCTCTTGGGAAAGCCACAGTCCAGGGGCAACCAATCAGAGGGTCCCCCACAGGCCTTGTGCAAGCTTACAAGAACTAAGCTGAAAAGCCCCTAACCACCGAGCCTCCAACCAATTGCATAGCAACCCATAAACTGTTTAAAGTCACCAATCAGTCCCCAGACTAATCTCTCTTCCCTGAAATTCCCCTCACCTGGCTTAAAAGGAGCCTGTGGGCTTCTCTCAGGGTCACCATGTGCCACCCCAACATGTTGGAATGAATAAAGCACTCTTGTTTTATTGCATACGTGACTGCTGGTCTTTTCTTGGGGGCTTCTCTCAAACCCTAACAGGGCCTGCTTGCTGAACATTAGTCGTCACCTGCCGTATACCCCTGTGGCCCTCTGCAATAATGGGACCAAACCTCTGAAATTGTAAGCCACCCCCAATTAAATGTTTTCCTTCATAAAGAGTTGCTGTGCTCGTTTTTTTTTAAGCCCCTCGAGCCACATGAGTGGCCACGCCCCTCCCCCCAAGGACCTCTAACTGCCAGGTTCCATCCACAGAACATTCTAACTGCCCTAACTGCTGGGCCCTGCCCCCACTCTACAGAGTGAAAAGTTCAGCCTCTAGATAAGTGAATTCCCTCCAGTCTCCACCATGGAAAGCTCAACCCTGAAAAGTTCCGCCCACTTCCCAAGAAGCTCTATTTAAACCCTGTATCCTGTTCAGTTTGCTGCTGTTTCTTGCCTGAGCAGAGGCAGCCACCCTCCTGGGTTGTTTGCTTCCCCACCCCACCCCCCACCATCGCCTAATAAATCTCTTGTGTGAGGTTTGCTGTGTGGTGTGACTTTGTGGTACTCCTTGGTTCCTGGCTGACAATATCCTTCCATCTGAGCTGTGATGCTCAGATGTTGTCAAGACTCAAACTGGCTCTCCTGGTGCCTGTATTTTCCCTCACGGTCTAAGCTGCACTGGGACCCTATCCCTCATCTCTGGTCCACCGGCAACACACACACCTGCCGACTCACCGATTGCTCAGCAACCCACCCACCAGCAATAATTAGGTGAGTCGTGTGTGTGTGTGTGTGTGTGTGTGTGTGTGTGTGTGTGTGTGTGTGTGTGTGTGTCGTGTAAGTGCTTCCCCAAGTCTGAGGAAGTGACCGTTGAGTATCCGCACCCCTCTGTTACTCTTGGAGGTAGAGGTTCCCTCAGTCACGGTTTTTAAGGCTACAGCTGGCCCTCTTCACCTGAGCCCATCCCAACACCCTTGGAGCTGCAATCCTACAGTTTCCTTAAGCCTAACCGGGCTACTGAGTCCCTTCCTGCCCTCTTCTCTCACTTTACCCCCGGGGCTGTCTATAATCTCTCAGCTCCTTTAGGCCCCTGTGGCTTTTGTGACCCCATTCCCTGACCCTTTCCTGTGGATGAGAGACGACTCCTCCTAGAGTTCTGCTTTTGTTCCTGCCTTCTTGCCTCTACTAAAGCCCTGGCATCAGGCATCAAGTCTCTCTACTGGCTTAGCCCTGCTGAGCCCCTAACCCGGGTTGAGTGTGGTGATAACCCACTGAATGGCTTGGTCTTTGTTCGGTCCTCCCTGAGTCCTGGGGTCACCCATGACTCCTGGCTGCAGAGATATTTTCCTTTTCTCTCATCCGTGGGAACCGGTCCTCCATACTCTCTCATCCCCCCTTGGGATGCCTCTCAGAAAACCTCCAGCCTCTACACCTGACACCCAACATTTATTTCACTTTTGAAATCAAATTTGGTATTGGACCTCTTCGATAATCAATCCAAGGGGACACCTAAGATGTTAATATTACTTAGGACCTTTACAAACACTGTGAGTGATTTGGGAAATGTAAAGAGATCCCCAATCCCTATTTCTCAGCCCCAAGCCCTGTCCTTTTTTTTTTTTTTTTTTTTTTTTTTTTTGGTCTAGTCTGTCTCTGTCTCTCTCTCTCTTTCTCTCTCTCTGTCACACACACACTCTGTCTCTGTCTCTGTCTCTGTCTCTGTCTCTCTCTCTCTCTCTCTCTCTCTCTCTCTCTCTGCAAATGCCCTGCCTTTTAAGTTATCATAGATAGATGGATCTGTAAGTTTGTTGCAAAGTGAGAGCCTGGAGCTATACCTAGCGGGAGGAGGAGAAAGCAAAGGACTAGGCCAGCTGCAACATGCACACACCCTGCACACACAATTCCCTGGCTGGTGCTCCTCTCAACTCCCTCCTGCAGCATCCTTCATCCACAGTCAGGACGCGAAAATTTTCCTATCTCTAAGCCTTCTTTGTCTTCAGCTCACTAGATTCAGCTTTGCAGGGATTCAGGTGTCTCTTAGGTGTGAGTGGCATTAGATTGTTGTTGGTTTTTTTATTTTTATTTTTTATTTTTTGGTTTTTTTTTTTTTTGTTGTTTGGTTTGGTTTGGTTTTGGTTTTTAGTTTTTCAAGACAGAGTTTCTCTGTGGCTCTGGAGGCTGTCCTGGAACTAGCTCCTGTAGACCAGGCTGGTCTTGAACTCACAAAGATCCGCTTGCCTCTGCCTCCCGAGTGTTGGGGTTAAAGGCGTGCGCCACCATACCTGGCTAGACTGTTGTTTTATGCTGTCCCACTTGGATTAAAATCTGGCTGTAGAGTTAGGATGTGGCTCCCCCTCCTCTAGACCCAAAAGCGATTGTTTAAAAGTTTCTTCTAAAATCTCTGTCCCACATCAGGCAAGCCACCTGCTGTGTGACAGAGAAAGGAAAGCAAAACAAAACAAAGAGACAGACTATTCCCAGTGGGGACAATTGCTACTCATTGCATACTCTTTTGGACTTGGTTTCACTCTCTAAAACTTTTAGCTAATGCCGGGCGGTGGTGGTGCATGCCTTTAATCCCAGCACTCAGGAGGCAGAGGCTGGCAGATCTCTGTAAATTCGAGGCTGGGTTGGACCAACAGCCTCCAAAACAATACAGAGAAATCCTGTCTCGTAAAAACAAACAAAAAACACTTTTTGCTAAGATGTAAATCTTACCTCAAGATTTGTAAAGTATTATGAAAACTTCCTGTTCCTTGATATCTGTAAGCATATTGGTTATGATTAAAGCCGTGTAAAATCAGTAACAAAAAGGTTAAAACACACAGCACCAGGATTGATAGCTAAAAACCTATACATAGGTTAGGTAATTTTAAAGGAAACTTGCTGCCACCTTAGCTGCTGTCCCCCCACTGGGATGAGGATTGTAGGGAAAGGGGGCCAGCCAAAGAAACACACCCTGAACAGAGCCAAAGAAACACACTTTGGCCCTGCAACCAGAACCAACCAAATGCACCCTGACCCTGAAACCAGTGCCAAAGAAATACACTTTATCCCTGGAATCAGAGCCAGTGAAAGAAATACACCCTGGCCCTAAAACTAGAGCCAAAAGACTAAAAAGGACCAGAGAAAGAAACACACTTTGGCCCTGAAACCAGAGCCAAATCTGACTCTAACCCTGTGCAGAAAACTAACCAATCCTGGAGCAGGAGCTCTAGCTAATCTGAGCTCAGTATTGAAATCTGACCAATCCCTACCCTGGAAGCCCTATATAAACCCTGTGTCTGTTCAGCTTGTGTCTGTTTGCGCTACCCAGCTATCCTCTGCCATCTGGCTAGAGGGCAGCCATTCTCCTGGCTTCTTCCCTCCTAATAAAACCCTTGGATGAGCTTTGGGTGAAGATCTTCTTTTGTGGCAACACCAGAGCAGAGATGACCCTGGGCAGAGCAGAGCGAGCAGGGCTGTAACATTTTTGCAGCGGAAACCTTCCCCTGGCAGAGCGGAGTTGTTACACTCAGCTCTCCACTCTCCCGGGAGCAGAGCTGAACTGTAGCAACTCGGAAACCCTCTCCTGCGGAGCAAAACTGCTACACTGGGCAAACATCCCCAGCTGGAAGACCCTCTCCTGCCAGAACAGAGCTGATACATTTGGGAAGCCTTTCCCTGAGGCAGGGCTGTAAGCTGCTCTGCTTACTGAGGCCTGTGTTAGTCCTTGGCCCCCCCCCCCCGAGCTCCAGGATACCTTTCCATCTGAGCTGTTTAACACTTAGTAGTATTCTGTGCCTCCCAAGTGCCAGAATACCTGTCCCACCTGATCCGCCCAAAATGCCTACAAGGATAGCCCACATGGCCGACATCCATCTTTCCTAGGTTTGCAAAGGATGGACTTTGCCATGTCACCTCACTCCCATCTTAATGAAAGTGACCACATGACATAAGTCATCCAAGGAAAAACAACTCCTCCTAGCAGCTGTGAGGCCCAAACCAGACGATTCTTCCAATACTTTCAATCACTAACAAGCCTGGACCCACGGTCCCTTCTCTTCCTCTCCAGCCTCTCTAGTTTCCCTTCCTCCCTTCTCAGCAACAGGCTGCACACCCAGTCATGGCTGAGGCTGTCCCTGACCAGGACTCTGGATGGCATTACAATGCCCAAGGTAGCATCCTTGATAGAGATCTGATTGTAACTTACCTCCTGGCTGTCCACCCTTAAAGAGGTAAATTATGAAAAAAAAAATCAAGAGGTCACCCAGGACAGACATGATAACCCATCTTAATTCCTAGACTGCCTCACAGAGGCCCTCTTACAATACAGCAATCTGGATCCCGAGACGCCAGATGGAAAACAACTCCCAGAATTTCCTTGACATTAGGACCAAACTTAAATGTCTAGAGAAAGGACCACTGACTCCACAGGCAAGAGTCTTAGCTGTGGCCTTTAAGGCGTACCATTGGAGAGATGAAAAAGCCCCAAAACAAAAATACCTGATACTAACAAAGGCCTTTTGTGAAATCACAAGTTGGAGACCAGGCCTGGGTTGGTTGGTTCACATGCAAATTGCACACTGCAGGATGCTGGCGTGCGTGTGTGCGTGCGTGCATGCGTGCATGTGTTGAGTTTACTCTCCCTAGAAGCATAGTCTCCTAGGTAAGTGAGGCTCTAAATGCAAAACCATCAGATCAGCCCGGCGTTACTGGAGCATGCCTTTAATCCCAGCACTGGGGAAGCAGAGGCAGGCGGATCTCTGTGAGTTCCAGACCAGCCTGGTCTACAAGAGCTAGTTCCAGGACAGCCTCCAAAGCCACAGAGAAACCCTGTCTCGAAAACAAACAAACAAACAAAAACAAACCATCAGATCATCAAACTAAACACACATGCTCGGTACTGGCATCCTGTTGTGGATGGCTGACTACAAAACCAGAAGAGCCCATGGGCTCCCAATGCACTTTTCTGACAACCCAGGCGAGTGTGGCTTGGGCAAAACAGCCCTGGGTATCCCCTGAGTATAACGCCAGTATTGCTCTATGCTGTGTGTCCCCAGAGCCCGCCAAAGCCTCAGGGAGCCAGGCCAAAGAGGACTAAAGCATGGCTCCACACAGACAGTGTGAGCTCAGTCTCTGCAAGTGTAGTGAGCTGCAGGGAAATGGGGCAGGAAGCAGTCTGCGATGGCAGGACAGAAAGCAGTGATCTCCAGACCCCGCCTCCACCTCATGCTGGAGGGCTTCTGTCTGTCAGCGTTCAAGCAGCGCTCAGACCTCCATGCCTTGTACGCTGGGGCCTCCGTTCCCTACTTATTCAGATATTTATTTTGTTAATTTGAACTCCGTTATTAGGTGATGTCCCAGACCAACATAGGTCCAGCGTCCATGGTCCAGACCACTAAATACTCCTAGAGCTATGACATAAGCAGACTAAGGACTGTGAAGTCAGCATTTACAAAGGGCTTTTAGGGACAGAGCATGGTCCTGGTTGCAGAAGACCAACTGACTTCCACAACTGGAGTCAGAAGGAGGGACTCAGAAAAAACGGTCAGGACAAAAGTGACTTCATTCAAACCAGCTCACTTGGTCTATCACAGTGAAGCGTCACGGCACTGACACGGCCAGGATTCTTATTGCATTCCAATCGTTTGACCTCTACATTTTAATTGTTTTTGTCTTTTGAGACGGGGTCTTGCTATAGAGCCCTGACTGTCCTAGAACTGACTATGTACACCAAGCTGGTCTTGAACTCACAGAGATCTAACAAAGGGCATTCGAGTTCCAGCCTC